CCACAAGGACGAGCTTGTCGCAGTCAACGATAAGTACCGCGGAACCATCGTCCTTTTCATTGCATCATTTGCCGCCGATCAAATTACCGCCGTTTTCGGGGAATGTCGAGGAATGGGAGAGCTTCCGCGATCGCTTCTCGTCTCTCATAATTCAAAATAACGAGTTAACTGCGTTTTCGCGGATGCATTTCTTGGCTTCGAGTCTCACCGGTCGTGCGTTCGACGTTATAAAATCTATTCCCATTACCGCAGATAATTTTGATATCGCGTGGAAAACATTAAGTTCACGGTTCGATTATAAGCGACGGCTCGTCGACGTGCACGTATCCGCGCTGTACTCTCTGCCGACGGTCGCTCGCGAATCCGCTGTAGAGCTTAGCGCACTCCGCGATAAAGCGAATCGCGCTATCGCTTCTTTAAAAAATTTGGATCGAACTCCCGAACAAATGTTGAACGATATCTTAGTTTTTAGCGTCGCGCAAAAACTTGACCACGCTACTCGGAAAGCATGGAAGCTAAAAACCGGTGACAATTCGAACATTCCTTCGTATGAGGCTCTCGACAAATTTCTCGACACGCGCATTCGTGCCTTGGAGGAAATCTCTCCGGCCAACGCTTCGAAATCCCCGCGCGCGCCTAAAGTGACCAGTGCGAACGCCACTGCCTCGGGTTTATCGTGCCCACTCTGTCACGCAGCGCATTTCATTAACAAATGTTCGCAGTTTTTGCGGAAGACTCCGAGTCAACGGCTCGACGTCATTGTGAAAGCGAAGCGATGCGTCAATTGCTTGAGCGCCAAGCACGCTGTTCAGGCGTGTCCTAGTCAATACTCGTGCAGAACTTGCCAAAGCAAGCATCACTCGATGCTGCACGTTGACTCGGCCTCTTCCTCGACTGCATCCGCTGTCGCTCTCAATAACGAGACCTCGTCGAGTGTATTGTCGAGCTCTATCGTGGCCACTTCGGTCGCGGCATTGTGCTCCTCGTTGACCATTGCCGCGCGTCCGCAAGTGTTGCTCGCGACGGCCCGCGTCACTGTCGGTGCACCGTCGGGTCGGACTCTCACAGTGCGAGCGCTCCTCGATCAAGGCTCGGAGGTCACCTTGATCACGGAGCGACTCGCACAAGCTCTCAGAATGCGTCGCATTCGTCAACCGCTTTCTATTTCCGCCGTCGGCGGAACCGACGCCGGTACTTGTCAGTACGCCGCTCAGCTTGAGATCGCTCCGATCAATCGGGCTGCTCCGGTGCTGACAACAACCGCGTCGATTCTCAGATCTCTTACTAAATATTCGCCTTACAAGGCCAATTCGAGCTATGATTGGAGCTATCTGGGCGAGCTGAGTCTCGCCGATCCGAATCCGATAAGCGCTGAGCCGATCGAGATCCTTATCGGAGCCGACTTATATAGTGAGTTGCTGCTTGGCGGCGTTCGTAAGGGCGCCCCTGGGCAGCCAATTGCGCAGCAAACCATTTTTGGCTGGGTTCTGTCGGGGCCCACGTCCGAGATGTCGATTCAATCGCGAGCGATCGCCGTTCAGCATTGCGTGAGTTCGGACGCCCTAGATCAGGAGCTAAGACGATTCTGGGAAATCGAGGAGGCTCCTCGACAAGCTCTCTTCAGCCCTGAAGAGCAGCAATGCGAAGAGCATTTCGTGTCCGCGCATTCGCGCGGTGCTGACGGCCGATACATAGTGCGCTTGCCTTTCAGGCGCGGTCCGCCGATCGACATCGGCGAGTCGCGCTGCACGGCTGAGCGCTTCTTGCGAGGTTTGCATCGCCGCTTCCGTCTTAATTCCGCGCTTCGCGAGGCATACACCGAATTTATGAGCGAGTACAAAACTTTGGGACATATGCAGGAGGTGAGGGGCGATCAAATCACCTCGCAGGAAGTGTATATCCCTCATCACCCTGTCATTCGCGACAGCAGCGTGACGACGCGGTTGCGAGTCGTCTTTAACGCGTCGAGTCTGACGACAAACTCGACTTCTTTAAATCAACATTTGCTCACCGGGCCAAAGCTACAAGCGGACTTGTCGGCTGTACTTCTCCGATGGCGACAATTCCGGTACGTTTATGCCGCCGATATAACAAAAATGTATCGTCAAATCAACGTGGACCCGCGTGACATCGATTACCAGCGAATTCTATGGAGCGGCTCTTCTTCAGAGCCCGCTCGAGCTTATCAGCTCACGACCGTCACATACGGTACAGCTTGTGCACCGTTTTTGGCGCTACGCGTCATTCGTCAACTAGCTCACGATGAGGGTAGTCCCTTTCCACTCGTTGCTGCCGTGCTGCAGCAAAACACATACGTCGATGACGTTCTTTTCGGAGCGGACGACATTCCTCTTCTTCGTGAGGTGCGCAGGCAGGTATGCGCGTTGCTTCGTCGCGGCCAATTCGAACTGAGAAAATGGGCGAGCAACTCGGCCCAACTCCTCAGCGATATAGCTGGCGCGGATCACGGCCTAGCTTGCGATAAGATGCTTCAATCGGATGAACATCTTAAAATCCTCGGCATCAGTTGGAGTCCGTCCTCTGACACCTTTCAATTTAACGTAACCCTGCCGCATTTCGAGAAAACTACCAAACGGTCGATCCTTTCAACCATCGCGAGATTGTTCGATCCGCTGGGGTGGAGTACTCCAGTTACAGTTGTCGCGAAGATCTTCCTTCAGCAACTCTGGTTGCTCAAAGCAAGCTGGGACGACGTACTCCCGGCTGACCTTCTCGATCGCTGGGACACCATTCGTTCCTCCCTCGCCGC